AAAATACTAGTTTTAAAATAAAGATCCTAAAGCTTAAGCAACAATCAATCATTTCTCTTTTTCACAGTATTGGTCACTAGACTGTATGTCATACAAATTAGCGTTTGGTTACAAGTTCCTGACCTAAGAGAAATTCCTGACCCCAAAAAACCAGACTTGGGGCTTAACATAAATGTGAGGGCTTTTATCTATTTCTACTTTCACTATTAAGTTTTATATTTATCCAAGTCATATATGTATGTAGTTGTAAAAACTATCATAAATTAGTCTCATGAGAAACAGTACGTCCATGCCCTTCACCAACTCCCACTTCCTAAAGGCAAGCATTTTTCAGTTCTTTATTTGTTTGTGTTGTTATTTCCCTCCATAGTTTTAAGTACTGTGTTTATGCTATTTCTTGATTTCTGTTTTAGGTATGCTCTATAGAGTAAACAGGAGATGAGGATATGCACATGCACCTCTCCCTCTCCCACCCCACCCCCCACGCCCCGCAGTTACATTGCAGTCTAACTGGAGCTAAATGTCCAGGGTTCCCACACTTTATTACAGCTATAGAAGTAGTATCCACAGCTGAGCTACATTTCCTTTGTTTTATTTCCTTTCCCCTGCATTTGTTAATTGTCTTAGTTTTTATTTTTTAATCCTTTACCTAACTTTCCTATAGATTTATCAATAATTTATTTCCAAATTCTGCCAGGGTATGTATAAATCTCCTCTTAAAAAAAAACCCCTTCGGGGCACCTGGGTGGCTCAGATGGTTAAGCGTCTGCCTTCGGCTCAGGTCATGATCCCAGGGTTCTGGGATCGAGCCCTGAGTCGGGCTCCCTGCTCAGCGGGGAGCCTGCTTCTCTCTCTCCCTTTGCTGCTCCCTCTGCTTGTGCTCTCTCTCACTCTTTCTCTGTCAAATAAATAAATAAAATCTTTTTTAAAAATTAAAAGAAAAGAAAAAGTGAAGCTTTTCATAACCTGGCCCCTGTCTGTGTTCCCAGATTCATCTCTCATTGTACATACTGCTCTTGTATTTCCCAGTATGCATGGTACTTCCCATGTCTTCAGCCTTCTCTTCATCCTCCTTCCCCATCCCATTCCTTCTTTGCCCATAGCACTCCTGCTTGTCCTTTAAGTCTGAACTGTAGCTTCACCACCCCTTGGAAGCTTTCCTGAATCTCCAGCCACCACCATAAACTCCCCTGCAAGTAGAAATGAATCATCCTGCCTTTGCAAATGTACTAACTCCATTGGAATCTTAATTCTCTGTAATATTAACTGATATGCTTGTGTTCCCCCCATGTGAATTTCAAGGTTATTAAAGGCAGAGACTGGGTCTCATTCAGCATTTGCCTCTTCCACCAAGCACAGTAGTCAGCAAGGAGTAAGCCCTTGAATGATTACTTGAATTGAAAATGCTTTAAAATTCTAATCTAATGTGTCTTTTTTTTTAAGATTTTATTTATTTGAGAAAGAGAGAAAGAGAATGAGACAGTACAAGCCAGGGGAGGGACAGAGGGACAGGCAGACTCCCTGCTGAACAAGGAGCCCAACACAGGGCTCAATCCCAGGACCCTGAGATCATGACCTGAGCCGAAGTCAGACACACAACTGACTTGAGTCCAACAGGTGCCCCCTAATCTAAGGTTTTAATATAATCAATATATCAAGATTTTTGTGCATTGTATTGCATGGTTATGTTTAAAGTATTAGACTGATACCTAAGAAAAGAAAGAAACAGAGAAAAAAGAAGAAGAGAAAAGAAACCCAAATACATTCTCTACAAAGAAAAAAGAAACCCAAATACATTCCTATTCTATGACTGCCTTCGTTTATGTATGACTTTTTCTATTGCTGTGTGACAGTCCTATTGAAAGTGGTATTTGATTTTATACTTCAGCTGCCCAGTTCTGGTGATCTGTGGAGCATCCACATGGACTTCGACACCAAACGGCTGGATCCCTGGGAACGAATCATACCCACCTTCAAGTACAGCCGAGATGTTCCTTTTTTTGAAATGCTTGTCCCCACAACGGACACAGTGCGCTTTGGGTATCTAATGGAAAAATTGCTGGCAGTCAGGCATTCAGTGTTGTTTACGGGAATAACTGGAGTTGGCAAGGTAGGAAACCTATCTGAAACAAGAAGGTCTGTCCCAAAATGAGGGCATGGTGGACTTGGAATTGTAAGCCCCAGAAATAGCACATTATTTTTCAAAGGAAATTCTTTTGAATTTTGATCATTTTTTAGGAAGAATGTAACTATGCTGAATTTGTATCTATCTTGGGAATTACTCCAAAGTTTGCCAGTTTCTGAATAAATCCTTGGTGTCAATACCTCATAAACCAGAGGACCCTGTGGACCAGTGTTTTGGGTTTGGGGGCTTTTCAGTCGTATCCCTTGGAATTTCTGAGGCTGCCACCACACAGGTTAGGGTGGGAACAGGGTGGTCAGAACAGTTTGTGTCCCCAGAGGACTGTTGATAAAGGCCAGTCCGTGTCCTCCTGCCCATTTACTTCTACCCGACACAGCAATGGGGTTTGGAAAAAAGCAGAGCATAGAGGGAAATGTTGATTGTTTGGTCTCCTTGGCTTGGGGAGAGTCCACATAAACAGAGATTGACTATTGACCCTCTACATTATTTTGGTTTTTTTCTTCTCTTTTTTTCCCCTCTAAGTTATTTCTAAAAGAGGTTTGGGTTCTTCTAGGACTCGTGCTACCAAATTGACTTGGATAGGAACCAAGGTGGATTTTGGTATAAAACTAAAATAAAAACTTTTGCTAAGATAGAGCTGGTTAGACTATCTCTTTGGCTCTGATAAATATAATTAAATGGAATCTCCAGGAAGAAGGTAGACATTTTGATCTCGCTTTAACCTATCTCCTTTATCCTGTTTCTTTATTCATTGTACTGGATTATTACTGATGTGGACAATTGAAAGATATATTGAATACATATATTAACATATTTTTTAATTTAAAGTCTGTCATTGCAAAAGGATTGTTGAATAGAATTCAGGAATCAGCCGGCTATGTTCCTGTTTATCTGAATTTTTCTGCTCAAACTTCATCTGCAAGAACACAAGAGATCATTGAGTCAAAACTGGAAAGGAAAAGAAAAAATATACTAGGTAAGAGTGATCATTTTTATTTGTCTTACCCAAATTTTTTATTAAACTAATAATCACAAAAATACTGCATGTAATAAAGTTACAAATGGATATTTTCTTTGCTTATTTTATTTGTAAAGGTGATTCTGTGAATGGCATTCTTTCCTGGGCTGTATATCCAGACATCTTACCATTAGCAATCAAGCAGTGTATTTCTGTCATCACCTTCAACTCAGAACATCTTCAGTCTCTCCTCTCTGTGGCTGCTCCTCTCCACACATGCTTTCAAACCTGCATTGATTTTCCTTTATTTAAAACAAACCAACAAACGACTTTGTATCTGGTGCACTGAGTTATCCGAACTCTGCAAGAAATTGCCATGAGACTGTCTAGGTTTTGTCTTCAGTCAGTGCTTTCAGCCAGGCTTTGTGGGATCTCCCTCACCATCCCATATTAACTGCTTAGATAACGAGCATAACTTCTGGTCACTTGCAGCTATTTTGAGTCAGGTCTAATGTAAGGTTTCAATCCGAAACCCAATGTAAAGCTCTTCCTCTCCTCTGTCGTGGACCTGGTTTGTGGCTCATGGTGCTGGAGGTGGAGCAGAGCACGGGGTGCCCTTTTGCCCTTCCTGGCCCTCCTGTAGGAGGCTCTGGTGTGTTGGGATGGGAGGAGGAGAGGACAGGACAATGTTCTCCCTAACTGGCATTATATGGGCCTTCGTGTGGATTGTCTCTGCTTCTCTTGCTGGTGCTAAACGACGGTCTGTGCTACCTGTGTGGCAGGCTTCCAGGAGCAGCTCCCTGAGGGACTCCCCAAAAAGATGTGCACAGGTCAGGCACTGGCCTCCCCATTGGAAGGTGCCCTAATGTTGGGAATCAGGGTCCCAGCCCCCACTCAGGCCCACCCTCCAGCAATACATCTTGCAGTCCTTGCTGCTGGGTCCACTTGGCCAGCCCACAGCCCTCCTGGGTGGCATATGAGGCCAGCTCGAGCCCAGCTGCCTTCCACATTCGCCATTATCTAATGGGCCCTCTGTGCCAAGCTGTGGGGGTACCAGCTGCTTTACTGTCTCCTGTCTATTCTCTTTTTCCTACTCTGGTAGGCACAGGGCAATTGATGCCAGTCTCTCTGGTGGGAGACCCATGTCTTTCTGAATGATTCTCTTTGAGCCCCTCACCACTTCTGTCCAGCTACTTGGCTTCTGGGATCTGGAGGATGGAGTGGGGCACTGAGTTTGCCTTGGTTCCTTCAATGTTGGCAAGTACTGGATGCCAGAGTGGGTGGGGTCACCTCTGCTTATGCTGTTCTCTTTCCTCTGTCACTACTCTTTTTTTTTTTTTGACTAGTGTGTATATTGATGTTCTCCAAGTTAAATATGGCATTGTGAAGTTCCGCCGTATTGGATTTCCCTTTGATGTGATCAGGATGCTTTTGAATATCCAGCCCTGTTTTCCCGGTGGAGGGTGGTGCAATGGCATTTATGTAAGGAGACTTTTGGAGTACTTCTGTTTCCTGCTCTGAAAAGAAAGTGACCTTCCTCACCCCATGCCAGGCCACACAGTCGGGGAGGGCAGTGGCAGTGACTGGGATTGAGAAAGATCCAAACCTGACTGGAGAGCTGGCAGCATCCTGCCCCTCTGGGAGTGAGGGTGGGGGCCCACCTGACAGTATGGGTGTCTCAGCCCTATCCACCTCTCCCTGCCGGGGCCCTCGTCACTCAGAATGTGTGCATTACAACCTACGGGGTGTTCACTGAGTTCAAAGCCTTACCTGAGCTTTGTCTTACATTTTCCAATGGCAAATCTTAATTCTTAAATTCATTTTGTTCCCCAGGAGCACCGGGAAACAAACAAGTTGTGATTTTTGTTGATGATTTAAACATGCCCAGACTAGACCACTATGGCTCTCAACCTCCAATTGAATTACTTCGGCAGTATCAAGATTTTGGTGGATTTTATGACAGAAACAAATTCTTTTGGAAAGACATACAGGTTACTTTAGGTTTTAAATTACTTTGTGTGTTTAAATTTAAACAGTAAGAAAAGATGGTGTATTTGTTTGCTAGGGCTGCCATACAGAATACCACAGACTGGGTGACTCAAACAACAGAAATTTATTGTCTCCCAGTTATAGAGGCCGGCAGTCTGAGATCAAGAGGTCAGCAGGGTGGGTTTCTTCGGAGGCTTCTCCCCCTGGCTTGCAGATGGCAGTCTTCTCCCTGTATCTTCTCGTGATCTTCCTTCTGTATCCGTCTGTGTCCAAATGTCCTCTTCTTATAAAGACATCAGCCATACTGGATTAGAGCTCTTTAGAGACCCTATCTCCAAATATAGTCACATTCTGAGATACCAGGAGTTGGGCCTTCAACGTATGATTGACCAGGAGAAGAGGAGGACACAGTTCAGCCTCTAACCTACAGCCTTGGTGTATGTGACTCAATTTATTTAATCTATTTTAAAGTCTTGCCCTGCTAATTTATTCAGGAGATTCAGGGACAAGTGAGATAGGCCCATCTCCCCAAGGACTCAGCTTCAGGGGATAGATGGACACATGTATTTATAATGCAGGGTGATGAGCGGAGGGAGGCAGGGTGGGCACTGGTTGAGGATGAGAGAAGACTTCCCAGAAGAGATGATGTTGGAAGGGGATTTTGCAGTCCGAGCATGGCAAGCAAGGGAAGGGAGCATTTTGCATCTTGAAGCAGGGAGTGTGGAACACCACGGTGCTGTGGAATGTGGGCGCCAGAGTGGCAGCAGATGCAGAGGTCAGCCCAGGGGGCCCTGGTACCATGATAAGGAACGTGGATTTATCCTCTAAGAGATGCACAGCCTCTAGAGGAACTGTTATGGAAAGATTCCCTTGGCCACAGGGAAGGGTGGTCTAAGAGGAGGCAAGACCAGAGGCAATTACAGTATCATGTATAGGTCAGTTGAAAATGTTATGACCAGTTGAAAATGTAGGACCAAAATAGGAACCCAACTCTGTAGTTCCCCCCCAGGAGCAATGGTTCACTGTGTGTAAATTCAGTGTTCCATGATTTTATAGAACATAACTACAACAAATAACAAGAATCCATGATACTTAATATTTGTTGAACGAGTATCTTTTCACCTAACATACAAATTCTTAACCATTTTTTAAGATTACATTTTTACATAGGTGTGTTTCTACAGATAGAAGCGTTAGCTGAGTGACCTTGAACAACTTAACCACCCAGGGTCTTGATATTTTTATCTGCAGAATGAGGGTAACGGTAGAGATCTCCTGAGGTGGTTATGAGGATTAAGTCAGGTAATGTGTAGGAGGACATGAGGTAATGCTGTCACGTGGTAGGTCCTCAAAAGAAGTGTTGGTTCTACGTCCTGCCACCGGTATGGGCAGCTGTCGTCTCCTGCTTGGCTGGGTGACTCGCATGGGTTTCTTCCCACTCAGGATGTCACGATCCTATCGGCATGTGCACCCCCAGGCGGGGGCCGCAACCCTGTGACTCCCCGCTTCATCCGCCACTTCAGCATGCTGTGCCTTCCCATGCCCTCAGAGCACAGTCTGAAGCAGATTTTTCAGGTGAGTGGGAATTTAAACCTAGGCGAGAGGGAAAAAGAAAACGTGTGTTCCCAAACTCCCACAGTCAGAAGAGGCTGTTGTGTTTCTGAGGAGCCCATCTGTCCCTTTGCTGAGCAGAGAGCAGGTAAACACAGGGACCTCTGGGCAGTAGCTGACGGGCATCTGCATCACTGCCTTCTGTGTTTGTGGCCCCAGAGAGAGTTTCAGGAATGCAGAAAGACTGCCAAAGCCTTTAAGGCCGGCTGTATCGGGGGCCCATGCCGCTCAGCACTCAGCAGATCTCGGGCGCTATCCCGCCCCCGCCTCTGTGCTCCTCTCATACCCGACCAGCTCCCCATACGTGGGCAAGCTCAAGCGCCATGCACCTGACCCAGAATTCATTGCCTCGCTGCCGCCACCACCTCCAACAAAAACAACCACCCCTATTTCTTCCACCTGTACAAACTTCCCTAAAGGGCCACTTCCTCAACCTTGAAGTGGGAAAAATAACCGTGCCTGCCCTGTAAGTGCTTAGCAGAAGTGTTCAATAAAAGATGCAACATTATTTTGAGTAGGATGTTGAGAGATCGTGAAGCAGCACGACTAGAGTGAGCATGCCATAACCAACCACAAAGGCTCACCGAGAAGATAGGGAGCTGAGCCTTGGGGAACAAGAGTTGACAGGGAGGAACAGATTCTGGGAACAGAGGCACACGGGCAAATGCAGTCACAGGGGCGAGAAATGGTAATGTGGGCACACAAGTGGAATAAGACACTTAGGTGACTGCTCTGGAGAAGCTGACTTTGGCAGTAAATCGCCGAGGAGCCAAAGAGGGGCAGTGACACATTCATACATGTCTTAGTGTTTACTTAGTGAAAATGTATACACCAAAAATATGCATCACTGTACATTCTAAAGGTAAACTAAGCAGCACACAACAAATTAAGTTGATAATGTTGTCATTAAATTAGATATAATTTCTAATTAGAAAGGTATGACAGCAGTAATTGAAACCAATGATCAACTCCATGAAATACTAACAGTGTGCTCATGCCAAAGCAACCTTCCCCCAGACTGTGGGAATTCTGGCTCTATCTTGTGTGCATATTCTTAGTAGAAGCTTTTTGAAGTTGCCAAATATGTCATGTAAGCCAGACCTTTGAATAGAAGACCAAGCTGTGGTCCTCAGTAAACTCTATAATGACATGCTAATTTTAATTTTTGAATATAAATTGAGTAGCCCTTAATTTCATTTATTAAAGAAATATTTATTGAGCATGTACCAGGGGCCAGACATTGGTATTACACTTTTTAAATTTTTTATTGTTATGTTAATCACCATACATCATTAGTTTTTGATGTAGTGTTCCATGATTCATTGTTTGTGCATGGTATTACATTTTAAACAAAGAAGATGCCATCCTTGTCCTCATGCAGCTTCTACCATGGAGACAGATAATAAACAGATAAATGAACTAATATGTATTATATTAATACTATATATATAAAACTATATAATATGGTTATATATGTACTATATTTATAAATACAAATTTACAATGGATGGAGAAGAAACAGACTAGAATTTTAATTTTTTTATATATAGTGTACATATGTATAGTAAAATTTTTATTTTATATATATTGGGATGCTCCTACTCAAAATATGGGCCATATGGAGAATGGTAAACTCATGTTGGGGGCCCAGAGGGGAATAGCTCAAAAGATAGTCCTCGTAGGCTGCTAAAACTAATGTTCAATGAGGAGGCTCATTGAAACAAATACTTGGGTTTATTTTAAAATATCTCCTATATGAGAATCCGAAATCTAAAGTCACAAGGACTGACTTACAAGCATTGATGTGCATTCTGGTGCCTTCCCATCACCATTGTGATGAGAATTCACCTATTTAAAAATCTGTAATAATTGTCCCAAGCATCTGGGTGCAGTAGGCTAGCTAATAAATATGTACTCAGAGATTGTGGCAAGTTGTATATGAGAAGATGAGAGAGCCATAAGAGACACTGAGAGGAGGAGTCAGGGAAGGCCTCTGCAAAGAGATGACAGGTAACCTAAAACACAGGAGTGAAAAAGTCCCTGGCAGCAGAGAGCCCTAAGGAAGAGGGTGGGCGTGGGAGATAGCTGTGCAAAGACCCTGAGGAGGGGAGACAGCCTGGGTGGTTAGGCCCGGGCGGCTGGGTCATGGTGAGCAATGGGGAAGAAGACAAAGTGAGGGGCTGGGCAGTGCCTGATCTTCCTGACCGAAGGTAACTGAAGGGAGACAGGAGTGGAAATGGAGAGGCAAGTAGGAGAAGGAGGGGCTGAAGAAGCCCAGATGAAAGAGTCAGGGCTGGAATGGGGTGATGTCCGGGATCCAGAGAGATTCAAGATATGCATTCAAGCTTGACTGTGGGGACAGAGAATGGAAGGTGTCAAAGGAGACTTGCAAGCTCCTGCTCTGAGCACGGGGTGGGGCCGTATGCCGAGACAGGGAAGCTGAAGGGGAGCGGGTTGTAGTTACAAGTAAGTTGCACTTTAAACAACAATTCCATGGAATTGTTGGTCATGCACCCATAAATATCAGAGAGAGGCCCTCAGCTCATTTTCAGATGAGTTTGGGTACGCCACAATGAACCTCTGGACCCACAGGAAGCAGAAGTCTAAATTACGTGGAGAGTAAGTTCAGTCAGTTCACTGGTCAGATACAAATGCTGCTCAGGCATCACCAGACTATCACAGAAGACAGGAGTGAGCCCATTCTCGGTGACATATTCTGAAGGGAATGGCAGAGTTTTATCACCCATATGTCCTTGCATTGGCATTCGGCTTTCTAATTATTATTAGAAAAAGCATCATCAGATCTGGAGTATTTGAAAGATGAGAAATTTTTGTTGTTTAAAAAAAAAAATCTAACCCTCTCACATTATGTTACTTGTTCTAGGCCATCTTAAATGGCTTCCTTAGTGACTTCCCACCAGCTGTAAAGCAAACCGCAGCAAACATTGTAGAAGCCGCAGTTGAGATTTATAACAGAATGAGTGTTGATCTTCTGCCAACACCAGCCAAGTCCCATTATGTCTTTAACTTGAGAGATTTATCCAAGTGTGTACAAGGTAATGTATGGAACCCTCATTCTTTGACCTGCACCCTCCCTTCATTTCCATTCACCCCAATCTCTCAGTAGAATTATATGTCTATGAGTGTCTGTGCCCCACCTAGAAATCCCATTACATGTTCCCTATTCAATTCACCCTCCACCCCCACCGCAGCCTGATGACTTCACAGCTTTCCTCAGACCACCAACATCCCCTTCCATTTCTGGCTCCCAGCTGATGACCTGTCTTTTTATTTCACCAAAAAAAAAAAAAAAAATAGAAGAAATAGAACCAGAACTGCCTCATCTTCCAGTTATCCCAGACCACTTGCATCTGCCTTTCCTCCTACTGCAGTGGCTGAGTTGTCCCTGTTCCGGTCATGTGCCAATACCCCGTCTGACACATTCAGTGTCCCCCTCCCCTTCAGCCTACTCAGGGATTTTGCTCTTATGTTGTATGGTTCATCCTGTGTGCCATGTATACCTATGTGTAGAGTAAATATTCTCCCTGTCCCGCTCTGCACGGTGTCGTGAGAAGTGAAGTGTCCCCAGAGAGAATGAACATTTCAAGGACTGCTATACATCACTGCTTTTGTTGTAACTTGATATTATTAGAACTGCATTTACGGTTATAATTTATATTAATACAAAGTAATCAGAGTAATTTGGAATAGAAGCCAGAAGGACCAAGGGCATTTGGTGAGGACTGAACACTGGAAAAGAATGAGAGAGGGAATTCGTGTTTTGAAAACAGGGTAAAGATCAGGGGTGGGGGTGGGGGGAGTTACTGGATGAATATATATGTATACTAAAGAGATGTGACACTCCTCACTTAACATGTTGCAACCGAATGTAATAATGAGATGAACATAGCCTATATTATGAAGTCTGACCACTTCACGTGTTCAGTGAAAGAAATATCACAAAGCAAGAAAAAGGTTTTTGTCAGATAATATGTCCAGTTTTGCTTTCAAAAAGTGAGATCACCATTATTCTTTTTTTTCTTTTTTTTTAAATTTTATTATGTTATGTTAGTCACCGTACAATACATCATTGGTTTTTGATGTGGTGATCCATGATCCATTGTTTTCGTATAACACCCAGTGCTCCATGCAATACGTGCCCTCCTTAATATCCATCACTGGGCTAACCAATCCCCCCCACTCCCCTCTAAAACCCTGTTTGTTTCTCAGAGTCCATAGTCTCTCATGGTTCGTCTCCCCCTCCGATGCCCCCTCCCT